GCCGGGAGACAACACAGTGGAGTTTCTCAGAGGGGAATGGGGAGGGGGCAGTGTCAGAAGAGAGAGGGGTCTGGAGTGTGGAGGGAACGGCAGGTGGTATTGGGGTGATGCTTGAGACAGGAGGTAAAGGGTGAGAGAATGAGCCTTGTAGACACTGGGGGGAACGTTTTGTCAAGGCAGCAGACTGCAGTTGGAAAACCACTTTGTATTAGTCCATTTTCATGCTGCTCATAAAGACATACCTGAGGCTGGGAAGCAAAAGCTTTAATTGGACTTACAGTTCCACATGGCTGGGGAGGCCTCAGAATCAAAAGGCACTTTTTACATGGTGGTGCGAGAAAATGAGGAAACAGCAAAAGCAGAAACCCCTGATAAACCCATCAGCTCTCTTGAGGCTTACTATCACAAGAGTAGCATGGGAAAGACCAGCCCCTTTTATTCAATTATCTCCTCCTGTATCCCTCCGGCATGTGGGAATTCTGGGAGGTACAATCCAAGTTCAGATGCATGTGGGGGCATCATCAAACCATATCACTTTTAATGTCACTGCATTCCTGGCGAGACGTGACAGTGTTAATGAGGAAGACATCAAGGCATTGGGGTTTCAGGTTGCTGGAATTGCATGCAAATCATGAGTCACTGGGACCACCCGGTTTAAGTTCTGAAGGCACCCCTTCTCAGATGCTGGGGACCCAGAGGGCCTTCTCTTAAAGACCTCCTTAGAGACTGGAGAGGTCCAGCCCCTCTGACACTGAGGGGCAGCTGCTCCAGCCAATCAGAGCTGTTTGGTTTCAGGTCTGCGGTCCCTCCCGCACCAATCCCAGCATGATGATCGACGACCTCCTGACGCCATGCTCACCAGGGGACCCAGGGGCCATGGAGATGACTTGGATGGATGTTCCTGGGGACAAACTCTTAGAGCCTGTAGTTTGCATGGTAAGTAAGTGACCAGCTGGGAGAATGTGTTGCAGCACACAGCCGAGAAAATTGGGGTCTTGGGTCCAGAATAAAAGTAGTCTCCAGGCTGGGCATGGTGGTTTATGCCTGTAATCCCAGCACTTTGGGAGTCTGAGACAGGGGCATCACAGGTCAGGAGTTCAAGACTAGCCTGGCCAATATGGTGAAACCCTATTTCTAGTAAAAATACAAAACTTAGCCGGGTGGCTAAGTAATCCCAGCTAGTCGGGAGGCTGATGTAGAATTGCTTGAACCCAGGAGGCAGAGGTTGCAGTGAACCAAGATTGCGCCTTGCACTCCAGCCTGTGTGAGATGTCTCAAAAAGAAAAAAACCAAGCTCCTAAGGGGAGTTATGACATGATGGAACTTAGATTCTCAGATCAGGAGGAGGCCCATCTGAAAATGATCTGAGCTGCCTTGAGGGTCCCTGCCATAGGTACACTCAAGCGGGCCTCTGGAGGGAGCTTGGCTGCTGAGATGGCCTCAGAGGCAGGCCTCTTCCCACCCTCAGCTGCATGGTGTGATGTGGGGAAGTTGGCGACCTGGAGCCTGCTGCCTGCTCAGTTGCATGCTCTTGCCTTTGCAGTCGGACATGCTTCGGTCTCTGGCTACCACCCGGCCCACAGTGAATGCAGACGACCTCCTGAAAGTGAAGAAATTCTCAGAGGACTTTGGCCAGGAGAGTTAAAAGCTGCTTCACTTGGGTGATGGTAAAGGTGGGAGGTTGATTAGGGCAAATCCAGGCACTTCCCATGTCAGCAGCCAGACAGGGCTCCAGGGCTTGTCCCAAAGTCACTACAGAGTTCCCTCTACTGTCTGGCCACCCACCAGGGAGCTGGAAAGAAGGGCTTTGCAGCTGCAGAGACATTCTGCCACCCTGGGGCACATGGTGGACACTGGCTCTTCCTACTTCCTCCTCTCCTGGATGCTCACCAGGCTCCTTCTGCCCCCCTTTTTCCTCCCATCTTTTGTTCCCCTAAATTAATGCTGCTTGGATTTTTGTCTTGTTTATAAATAAAGATAAAATCACCTGGAAGCATCAAGGAGTGGGAGCAGCCATGCTGCAGGGTTACCCAGACTTCTAGACAGCTGGTCAAGCTCCAGCGCCGCTCCTTTTACACCCGTTTTGCTCCTTGAGAGCAGACTGGCTGATGTCCCTGCAGCCCCAGCCTCAAAGACAGAGAGTGAGAGAAGCCATTCCCACCCTCCTAGGTTCACATCCATGGCTGTATCTTCCTTGGGGGAGGAGATGGTTTCATTTATATCAGGGGAAGGCAGTCAGGCGGGTGTTCACCACTGCCTTTTCTTCCTCTGAGTGTGAGAATACTGAACCCAGCCACTGCCCTGGGTCCCTATCTTGGAAATAGTCTAATAAATCCTTCTCCCTTCTTGAGCCACTGGAGTGATCTCATCTTTGACTCTTACCTGGGACTCTTTGAAGGGCAACTCTTGCTTCCAATTAAAGACCTCTCTGGTTTCCTCTCTGCTGTCTCCTCTAAAGTAGAGTAGGAAGCAGGAACGCTCATTCTCAGGCCTGTTCTCCAGTCAGGTGTGTAAGGCCTCCTCCCCTTTAAGGCCTCACAATTTTGGCTGGGGGTGTCTGTGGGACCCGGATAGTTCTTGCCATTTTTCAGCCTGCAGATCAGAGACTGCAAACCGGGAGCCCTGTGTGCCAGACGCGTCCTGCAGCTGTCTTTGGTTTAGTCTGCCGCAAACATTTAAAAGTTGAGAATTGACATAAAAATTCAGAATTCTGACTGCTAGAAGATTAAATTAGGTAATGTTGGGCCTGAGACCTCATGGGGCAGCCTGTCAGCTGCCACCGACTAAGGGCTTCTCTGTGCAGAAGGGGTCACCCATCCCCACTCATCTGTGTTGCCTGCCCAGATAGCCCCTGTGGCCAATTCAGTTTGTGACCCCTGACAGACACCAAGCGCCCAGAGCTGGCAGCCCTGGACACGTGTCTGGCAGGCAGTGAAGCTGCAGAGACTATCCTATGTTTATCCCACGCATATGAACAGACCAAAGGCAAGGCACATTCATATAGAAAGAATGTGCCTAGTAAAAGGGTCTGTTCCAGTCTTCCCTCTCCAAAAGCCAGTACTGTTCCTCTACTTTTCAAACCTGGTTAGGCCAGAACTGATTACATGGCCAAATCTTGGCTCACTGGCCTTGCACTGGGATGTTTCTTTGCTCTGCTTCGGAGCCTCTGCTGAAGCTAACTTTGGATCAGTAGCTGCAAGGCTTGGCTCCAGTGCTGGTGGGTCACCCCCTCCGTCCCTGATGTCACCTGAAGTAACAGCAGTCTGACCTGCAGGTAACACTTAAACAGCTGCTGAAGCTGGGGTCTTCGTGGCTAGGGGGTACTACTCATCTAAGTTCTTGGTTATGTGCCCTCAGTTCCCAGGATGTGAACTGTCTGTTTAGCTTCACTTTAGTGAGCTTACAAGTTTTTACTTCCAGTTACTACACTTACTTGAATCAGAAGGTTGTTTCCTCATTCCTACTGCTTAAACACCTTGGCAAGTCCTAGGGGTTAAGAAAGGTTAGTGCGGCTATTGTCTGTCTGGGCTCTAGTTAAGAGCGTGCAGACACCTGCCTTTCCACTTGTCTCTCTCCACGACCAGCGACAGGAACCAGTGATGCTGAACCTTGGACTGACAGTGACCTCAGACTCTGGCTGCCAGCACACAACCGGCCATCAACACAAAACAGGCCAACATGTGCAGAGTTTCCTCCCTGGAATGCTCTGAAATTCTCTTTTGTACCTGAGGATTCTGTTCTAAACCTTCTGCCTACATTGGCTTTCACTGTGGAAGCTGATTTCTAAAACTCTGATTAGCTCACAATGCTGACATGTCTATGCGGTTTTTGTGAGTGCCTTCTGCCTCAAGTGAGAGAGATTTTATCTGCTACTACCGATGTCTACCACAAAGGCGTTAACCTCAGAAGCATCAAATGGCAGGGCGCAGTGGCTCATGCCTGTAATCCCAGCACTTTGGGAGGCCAAGGTGGGTGGATCATGAGGTCAAGAGATCAAGACCATTCTGGCCAACATGGTGAAACCCCATCTCTACTAAAAATAGAAAAATTAGCTGGGCGTGGTGGCAAGAGTCTATAATCCCAGCTACTCGGGAGGCTGAGGTGGACGAATTGCGTGAACCCAGGAGGCAGAGGCTGTAGTGAGCCAAGATTGTGCCACTGTACTCCAGCCTGGCAAAAGAGCAAGGCTGTCTCTGTCTCCCCCCCCCAAAAAGCAGCATCGAATAAGAGGCATCGAAATGTTGCCATACCTCCCTGCAAGAGCTTCTGAACATTGCCCAAATGGAAGGTGGCTCACTGAATTATAATTTTCCTAAAGACCCATGTTTTCAGTATCAATGAGCTTTCTACCAATCTCCCCAGTGGCTGCATCTCTGACTTTGCACCTTGCAGCAGTACCTGGTTGGGATTCCTTTTTTTTTTTTTTTTTTTGGAGACAGTCTTACTGTCTCCCAGGCTGGAGAGCACTGGTGCAATCTTGGCTCACTGCAACCTCCACCTCCCAGGTTCAAGTCATTCTCCTGCCTCAGCCTCCTGAGTAGCTGGGATTACAGGTGTGTGCCACCACACCCAGTTAATTTCACCATGTTGGTCAGGTGCTTGTCTTGAGCTCCTGACCTTGTGATCTGCCCACCTCAACCTCCAAAAGTGCTGAGATTACAGGCGTGAGCCACCGCGCCCAGGTACGCCCAGTTAATTTTTATATTTTTAGTAGAAACAGCGTTTCGCCATGTTGACCAATCTAGTCTCGCTTGACCTCAGGTGATCTTCCCGCTTCAGCATCCCAAAGCGCTGGGATTATAGGTATGAGCCACTGCGCCCAGCCAGGATTCCTTTTCAAAGTCTGGTTGGACTAGAAGCCAGTTTGCTTCTGCTTGGCCTCATGGGACCTCAGAGAAAGCCACAGGGGAGGATGGATCTTTCCTGGGTTCATTTAATTAACTGCCACTGGTAACACTTTTTCTTTCAACCGCTTACTGGACTTCCTATTACTTCTATAGTTTGATTTTTTTTTTTTTTTTTTTTGAGCCAGAGTCTCACTGTCTTCCGGGTTGGAGTGCAGTGATGCAATCTCGGCTCACTGCATCCTCTGCATCCCAGATTCAAACAATTCTCCTGCCTCAGCCTCCTGAGTAGCTGGGATTACAGGTGCGCACCACCACGCCTGGCTAATTTTGTATTTTTAGTAAACACAGGGTCTCACCATGTTGGCCAGGCTGGTCTTGAACTCTTGACTTCGTGATCCACTCACCTCAGCCTCCCAAAGTGCTAGGATTACAGGCGTGATCCACCACGCCCAGCCAAGGACTCTGTCCTACTTAACAAAATTCAGCATAAAAATGTGGTGAAACAATTTATCTAAAACTGGAGTTTGGCTGGGTACTGTGGCTCACAACTGTGACCCAAGCACTCTGGGAGGCTGAGGCAGGAGGACTGCCTGAGACCAGGAATTTGAGACCAGCCTGGACAACACAGACCCCATCTCCATCTTAAAAAATAATAAAAGGACCGGGTGCGGTGGCACACGCCTGTAATCCCAGGACTTTGGGAGGCCGAGGTAGGCGGATCACGAGGTCAAGAGATCAAGACCATCCTGGCCAACACAGTGAATACCTGTATCTACTAAAAGTACAAAAAAAAAAAAAAAAAAAAAAAAAATGGCCAGGCACGGTGGCGCACGCCTATAATCCCAGCACTTTGGGAGGCCAAGGCGGGTAGATCACTAGGTCAAGAGATCGAGACCATCCTGGTCAACATGGTGAAACCCCGTCTCTACTCAAAATACAAAACTTAGCTGGGCATGGTGGCGCAGCCTGTAGTCCCAGCTACTTGGGAGGCTGAGGTAGGAGAATTGCTTGAATCCAGGAGGCGGAGGTTGTGGTGAGCCGAGATCACACCATTGCACTCCAGCCTGGGTAGAGCGAAACTCCATCTCAAAAAAATAAAAAAATTAGCCGGGTGTGGTGGCACGCGCCTGTGGTCCCAGCTACTCGGGAGGCTGAGGCAGGAGAATCATTTGAACCCAGGAGGCAAAGAAGAAAGCAAAAGAATAAAAGTGGAATTCCTTAACCTCTTGACAAAGCTGACACTTTTCTTTTTTTTTTTGAGATGGAGTCTTGCTGTGTTGCCCAGTCTGGAGTGCTGTGGCGCAATCTCAGCTCACTGCAACTTCCACCACGCGGGTTCAAGCAATTGTCCTACTTCAAGCCTCCTGAGTAGTTGGGATTACAGGAGCGTGTCACCATGCCCAGCTAATTTTTTGTATTTTCTTTTTCTTTTTTTTTTTTTTTTAAGACGGGGTTTCACCATGTTGGTCAGGCTGGTCTTGAACTCCCGACCTCAGGTGATCTGCCCACCTTGGCTTCCAAAGTGCTTGGATTACAGGCATGAGCCACCATGCCTGGCCTTGTATTTTCACTAGAGACCAGGTTTCACCATGTTGGCTAGGCTGGTGTGGAACTCCTGACCTTGTGATCTGCCCGCCTTGGCTTCCCAAAGTGTTGGAATAACAGGTGTGAACCATCGTGCTGGCAACATTTTCTCAAACCTACATTGGTTGATGTGATGTTAATTCACTTTTCCAAAATAAGTGTTATGACCAGAAAGTACTAGTTCTGCTTTTTGTGTCTGTCCCAATTGTTAACAGGGAAGGGCTCACTCCACTTCTCAATTGTTACCCCTGCCCCCAGCCCTGATCCATGGCATCTGCCCCAAGAATAAACCAAGAACCAGGGGCTCTAGAGATCTCAGCAGCAAAATCCTGCCCAAGACTGTTAAAATACGTGGGCACTTATTTACACTCATGCTGTCATTAAACACTTCCTTAAGCAGGGACTATCCTGCCCTGTTTTATTTCTATAAGCAAACTGGCATCCAAGGTCAACCAAAGCCACAAGCCCTCTGTAAAAATAAGAACTCGGCACAAATGGCCAGTCATGCTTACCTGCGTTTTTAAAGACAGCTTTCAGGCATTTGGAGACTACATTATTACCAAACCTTGGCTTTGGGAGATTATAAAGGTCCAAGGAACTCATGTCTACTGCAGACGAATGCAGTTACCCCACCTATCTCCGAACAGAATTGTCAGGAAATGTCCACTCCTTTGGGGGTGATTTTTCTCCTCAAGTTGTAGGCAACACTTCGTCCATAGCCGATTTCAGGATAAACATTTCTGACATCTTCCTCCAGCTCAGTCTGGCGTGCCTTGGCAGTCCACTTTCCTGTCATGGCCAAGCCATCCAAGTTAATGCCAAGTAAGATGTGACCAGCTCAAAGTGGCAGTGTTTGCATCTTGGTCTTAGGAATCCTCAGCCCCAGTAAAAAGCTTTAGTCATTTGCCTCCATCCAAAAGATGTTTGTGAATGTCGTGCTGTCCATTTTGTCAATGAAGAGGCAGCCCTGAAGGTGGTCCATCTCGTGCTGGATGATTCGGGCTGCCCACCCGCTTGCCTGCCACACCACCTGTTCTCCATTGGGGTTCAGCCCTGCAAAGGAAGTTACAGCCCTCGTGAGTGAGAACAGGTGAACAGCATCATCCTCAACCTCCTTACCCCTGCCCCAAGCCCTGGCTGTTCCCATGGACGAGAAGCAACAGCAGAAGGCAAATACAGACAACACATCTTCTTCTCCGAACTAGAAAAGATCCCTCAACTCGGCCCATTACCAAGTGTTCAACCTGGTTCCCAATTATGGTAATTAGATTATCAAATTCACTGTAGAGTTAAGAAATCATCTTCCTATGGTGCGACCCTTCTGAAACTCACCCCCCCGCCCGCCCCGCCCCGGCTTCTGAGGTATCTGTGGGCTCTCAACTCCTAATAAGGGTTCTGCAGCTTGGGACCCGTTTTTCTGACTCTCCTGAACCAGCAACAATCACCCCGACCCCAGCAGAGCCCGCATTCCGCGAGACATCCAGTGGTACCAAGGGGAGAATGGCTTACCGCACTGGGCTGGGTCAAGCTGGGATGCTAACCCCCACTTCTCCAACTCCACCGTGACGGATCTAACTGGGGCTGATGGGTATTTGCAGCAGAGTAAGGGAGCAGAAAGCAGAGGCCCGGGGTCAAGTAACAGGGAAATTAGGGGTCCCCTCTTCGCCCCCGCATCCTATCTGAGCCGGATCTGTCCCACAGGAGTTTCTATCGGTCCTAAGACCCGTTCGCTCCCGCGTCCCAATTTTTTCCTGCGGGAGGCCCAGCGGACGAACCGCAACCACTTCTGCGCTCTCGTCGGAGCCAGGCGAAGAGACGCCCGCGCTGCTCCTGTCGCTCCGGCCCCCACCGCCCCCACCTGAGATTTCCACCGCCTGGAAGCGGGGCACGCAGGCCAGGAAGCCGGCGACGCTCTCGCAGCCCTCGGGGAAGGTGACCAGGCGGCTGTCCAGCACCCGCAGGCTGGGGTTCACGAACACGCGCAGGGGGAAGGGCTCCATCTGGCGAAGGGCGCGCTGGCGCGGCGGGGTCTTCTGACACAGCGCCTGGGTGAGCTCCAGCGCCAGCACCTGCCGCGGCACCCCCAGCTGCGGGGCGCTCAGGCCCACGCAGTGCTGCCGCCGCATCACCTGCACCAGCCGCTGCACCAGCCGCTGCAGCTCGGGCCCTCCCAGCTGCTCACGCTCCACCGGGGCCGCCACGCCGCGCAGCACCGGGTCCCCGACCTGGCACACGTGCAGGAACGGCGGTTCAGGCGGCCCCCGCACTAGGCGCCTCAGGTGGCGCCAATAGGAGCGACGGAGCGCCGGGCCCTCGACGCCGTCAGGGGCCGCCTTGGAGCCGCAAGCTCGGGCACCACCGGCTGCTGCCCTTCCCCAGGCCAACCGGACCCACAGCCGCCGAAGCAGCAGCGCGCACCATAGGCTGGACATGGCGGCCCCAGCAGCAAGAACACGGCCCGCCCCTTCCGGCTGCAGCGCGGGGCACGCCGGGAAGTGCCGTCGGAGCGTGCGCAGAAAGCTCGCAGCGGGATCCCTGTCTTCACGCCCAGACCAAGCCTGAGCACCGCCCCTTCCGCTCTCCTCCAGGAACGCCTTCCGGCCTCCCGAGCCCGCCCTGGGCCTTCCTGGGTGAGGCAGCCTTGGCCAGCCCGCGCCGGGCACCGTACGCACCGCGTTCTAGAGGCAGGGGACGCTGGCTAGGGCTCCACACTGGGCAGTTCCGCCTCTGCTTCTGCTCGCTCTCCCTCCGGACAGGCTAGGCCCGCAGGCTCCAGGCGGGGCTCCTCGGCGGGAGGCTCTGGTGTTGGAGCTGTGAGCTCGGGCCCCAGCGCCTGGTCATCCAGGGCCAAGAGCGTCTCTCTCTTTGGCAGGATAAAGGCGAGGGGCTCCTCAATGGCGCCGATGTTCACATGCCCGATGTTTCCGTACTTGGAGAGCTGAGTGGGAGGAATGCCTGACCCGGACCACAGGGAAAGCAAAATGGAAAAAAGTTATTGATAAAATTCAACATAGAAATTAAAAGAAAAAGGGAAAGAACCACACAAGAAGAAACAGAAGCAATTACTATATTTCTTTTTTTTTTAGTGTCTCTAGGCACCCAGGCTGGAGTGAAGTGGTGAGATTTCAGCCCACTGACAACACAAATCGGTCAATTATTTAGTATGTAAACGTCTGCCTCCTGGGTTCAAGCAATTCTCCTGCTTCCGCGGTAGCTGGGATTACAGGCACCTGCCACCAGCCCAGCTAGTCTGTATTTTCATTAGAGACGGGGTTTCACTATGTTATCCAGGCTGGTCTCAAACTCCCAACCTCAGGTGATCCACTCGCCTCAGCCTCCCAAAGTGCTGGGATTATGGGCGTTTGCCACTGCGGCCGGCTATAGTTCAATACAGCAAAAACCACCTTTGTCATAGGGAACGGGAAGCTATACTGTGGGGCAGAAGCAGCAGCAACACACAGCACGGGCAGGAGGAACCTCAGGCAGCACCAATGGAAAAGCGGAGGGCTTCGCAGGTGTGATGTACTGACCCACTGTCCTTTGGGAAGCTGCGCCTCAACCAAGCCCCTCTCCCATCACAAGGGGACGAGGATGTAAAAGTGAACTGTAAAAAAGACTTTAAAAACACTTTCTCTCAAAATTTCACATAAATGGAATCATCCATATGTGGTTATTTTGTGACTGGCTTCTTCCACTTAGCCAGATACAGCCACATAATGTATGATTCCATTTCTATGAAATGTCCAGAAAAGGCAAATCCATAGCAACAGAAAGTAGGCTGCCAGGGGCTAAGGATGCTGTCGAAGAATGACACCAATGTGCATGAAGGATATTCCTGGAGTGATGGAAATGTTCTAAAATTGGACACATTTACTAAAAAACACTGACTTACACAACTGGGTGAATTATTTAGTATCTCAAATACACATCAGTAAGGCAGTTTACAAAATTCTCCTTTTTCTTACCTAAAGTCTGTGCTATCTGAGCTGGTGGAAAAAGGACCTGGAGACAGCGATTTAAATATGGAATGAGGTCTTCCAGGAAGACAGTGCAGAACTGGACGAAGAGCTCTTGCTCCCCGCTGCTGAAGGCAGCTTCTTCAGCGCGATGAAAAGCCAGGATTATTTGAGTTACCTAAGAGACAAGGGCACCGTCAATCACTGGGACAGCCTATCACCACTGGCAGTGCATGAAACTAGGCAAAAAATAAAAATAAAAAAGGTGTAGCCCTCAAGTTTTCCTGAACAAAGTAATTTAACACAGTACATTATATTCCTATCTCATTTAAACTCAGAATTATGGTCAGTCTCGCCAATTCTGTCACTTCACTGATGTAAAGTTCAGACCCAACTTGTTACATTACAGGTGTAGTTTCCAGTTCCAGTGGAGAAGTGTCATAGAATTACAGAAAATACATGCTTTTGTTTTTGTTTTTAGAGACAGGATTTTGCTCTGTCACCTATGCTGGAGTGCAGTGGCACAATCAAGGCTCATTGTAGCTTCAAATTCTTGAAGGTCCCTCTTGGGCTCAAGGAATTGGATACTCCCACCTTAGCCTCCCACGTACCTGGGACTACATGAGTGCACCATCACGCCTGGCTGTTTTAACATTTTTTCTAGACATAGGGTATTGCTTTGTTGCCCAGGCTGGTCTAGAGCTCCTGTCTTCATAGATCCTCCTGCTTCAGCCTCTCAAAGTGTTGGCATTACAGGCATGAGCCACTGCACCTGGCCCAATACATGGTTCTTGACTTCCATGGAGGATCCACCATGAGCATATAATTGTGCTGGAGCACAGGAAAATGAAGGAAAACTATACAAGGTTTCTACTAAGGCCCCTGAGGCCCCAGAAAGCTGGAACCACTGGAAAACTATAAGAAAACAGCTAGGAAAGTGAGCTTCCAAATGTTGAGAGTAAATTCTGACATGTGTGATATATCATATTGTTTGCTGAGGGCAACAGCAAGGAAAGCCTAGTCCACCCCTCAAAGCAGAAAACTGCTCCAAGTGTTATAAAACAGTAACCAATATGAATATGTCTCACACCAGATGAATTAGTCCTTTTTTTTTTTTTTGAACACAGGATATGTGACTCTTTCCTTTGTTCCCTCGTAAAATATGCCTTTTTTTTTTTTTTTTGAGATGGAGTTTCGCTCGTTACCCAGGCTGGAGTGCAATGGCGCAATCTTGGCTCACCGCAACCTCCGCCTCCTGGGTTCAGGCAATTCTCCTGCCTCAACCTCCTGAGTAGCTGTGACTACAGGTGCGCGCCCCCATGCCCAGCTAATTTTTTCTATTTTTAGTAGAGACAGGGTTTCACCATGTTGAGCAGGATGGTCTCGATCTCTTGACCTGGTGATCCACCCGCCTTGGCCTCCCAAAGTGCTGGGATTACAGGCGTGAGCCACCGCGCCCAGGCTAAATATGCCTTCTAGTTTACCTTTAACCTATAGTAAACATTCACTAGCTGCCTTGTTAGTTTACCTTTAACCAATGAAAGAACACAGAGCATCCACTTGTAAAACTTGTTACTGGAATATAAGAAATAAATACGTGGGTCAGAGTCTGCTCTGGGCTCTCAGCTGCAAATGCTGTGAGACCCCTGATGCTGCGCACTCTGAACTCACCTTTTACTTTTTCTTTTTTTTTTTTTTTTTAAGAGGCAGGGTTTCTCCATGTTGGTCAGGCTGGTCTCAAACTCCCAACCTCAGGTGATCCACCAGCCTCAGCTTCCCAAAGTGCTGGGATTACAGGCATGAGCCATCGCACTTGGCCTACTTTCTATCTCTGTGACTGTTTCTTAACTCCTTCAGCACCAACTGCACTGGGGTCTCCACAGCTGAGCTGGTCTCGGCACCAAAACCAACAGAGCAGCCTAGCTGACATTACAGACACATGGCACAGCAACAGGGTAAGAACACAGACTCTAGTGCTGGACATTCTGGGTTCAAGTGACTCACACCCGTAATCCCAGCATTTGAGGGGATGAAGCAGGAGGATCACTTGAATCCAGGAGTTTAAGACCAGCCTAGGCAACACAGAGAGACACTCTCTCTATATAAAATAAAAAATTTTGGCCTGGCAAGGTGGCTCATGCCTGTAATCCCTGCACATTGGGAGGCTGAGGCAGGTGGATCACCTGAGGTAGGGAGTTTGAGACCAGCTTGACCAACATGGAGAAAACCCACCTTTACTAAAAATACAAAATCAGCCAGACGTGGTGGCACATGCCTATAATCCCAGCTACTCGGGAAGCTGAGGCAGGATAATCGCTTAAACCTGGGAGGCAGAGGTTACAGTGAGCTGAGATTGTGTCACTGCACTTCAGCCTGAGCAACAGAGTGAGACTCCGTCTCAATAAATGAATACATTTATTAAATAAAACATATTTTTAAATAAAAATTAAAAAAGAATATGCCAAAGGTGAAGGGTTTTGCAGATGTAATTAAAGTCCCTAATCATCTGACTTAATCCAATGAATCTTTTAAAAGGAGGTACCTAAAAGAGACTCAAGCAAGTGAGAAGTTCTCCTGCCAGCCTTGAGGAAACAAACAACCATGTTGTCAGTTGCCTATGGAGTGGACAGCCTCTAGGAGCTGAGGCTTCAGTTCTATAATTGCAAGCAACAGACCCCTGCTAACTTGAACAGGTTTGAAATGGAGCCCCAACCTCCAGATGAGACCATAGGCCAGCCAACACCTTGATGGCAACCCTGTAAAACCCTGAGCAGAGAGGACCCAGTTGCACTGTGCCTGGACTCCTGACCCACCAAAACCAGGAGGTCATAAATGTTGCTGGAAGCTACTAAGTTTGTGGGAATTTATTACACAGCACTAGAAAGGTAATACATGTATTACTACAGGTGAGCCACTTCATGGACTGTCCTAGGTCCCATGAAGGGCAATTGGCCAGAGCTTCTCAACCAGAAGAACCTCTGAAACCACACTAGACCAGATCTCTCCATGTCGGCAGGCACCAGACTTTGTTATTACAAAAATCTGGCCACCCATTACCAAAGAAGGCCCAGGGTAGCAGAAAACCAACAGAATATGCTCACCTTGGCAAGGGCATCTTCTAAGGACCCAGTCACGTCCTGGGCCAGGGCTACAGGGCAGCAGAGGCGCAGATCATTGAAGGCAACCAGAATATTGTTGAGGAAGCAGGCGAGGGGGGGGAAATCTAGGAGCACCATCGGTGGCTGCAGTGTCCCTGGCTGAGTGGCTGGCACAGCAGTAGGCATGTTACTGCTGCCCAGAATGGCTGGAGCTGACATGAGAGTGTAGGAGTTCATTTCATCCTGGAATTTCTCCACTGTTTGTTGAATTGCTTTCTGGAAAGTGCGGATGGCCACCCGCTGGAAAACAGGAGCTAACTGGCCCCGGAAATCAGCTCCCACCCGGCTGAAGGACAGCCCAAAGTACATGCACTGGCCCAGCAGAGAGTCCAGGCGGCTGCCTATGCCCCGGTTAAGGTCGGTCTCCAGCAACTGCAGGAACTGTGAGACTTTCTGTAGCACCCAGCCGTGGAAAATGGCACTCTCATTCACAGTGTGCTCACCCATGACAGGGGGCAGTAGTGGGTCCTCGTCTGAGAAGATGGCACGGTACTGGGTGATGATATCAAAGAGATGGACACGGCAGGCCTCGATGGTTTTCGTGATATGGAAATAGGGATCATCATTAGGAATGGCAGTCAGGATGGACCGGAGCCAAGCATCCCGGGCCTGAAGAAACTTCACCCTCAGCTCGGCCTCAGTGAAGACATCCATGCGCCACAGGTAGCCAATGACACGGAGGCAGGCAGGGAGCTGGATGCTGGTCCTCAGTTGCTGGATCAGCTGGCTCAGCATTAGCTGCATGGACTGGCGCACTTCATTCACGATGCCCTGAAAATACACAGAGAGAGTCACACTGCACTGGGAAGGATGCGCTGTTAGAACCCATTCCCCTGACCCTTAAGACTGCAGACCGACACTCCCATGGTTTTCCTGAAATATGAAGTAATTTCCTAGAGCTGATGCCTGTAGGTTCACCAACAAAGATCTGGTTGGATAACTCTCTTACTTCAAAAGCTTAAAACCCAGCCAGGCGCAGTCACTTATGCCTATAATCCCAGCACTTTGGGCAGGCAGATTACTTGAGGTCAGGAGTTCAAGACCAGTCTGGCCAACATGGTGAAAACTCGTCTCTACTAAAAATACAAAAATTAGCTAAGTGTGGTGGTGCATACCTGCAATCCCAGCTACTCTAGAGGTGGAGGCAGGAGAATCACTTGAACCCAGGAGATGAAGGTTGCAGTGAACTGAGGTTGCACCACTGCACCCCAGCCTGGGCAACAGAGTAAGACTCTGCCTCAGAAAAAGAAAGGCTTAAAACCCTCCAGTGACTGCCTACTGCAATCAAGAAAATTCCAAGCACCCTGGGACTTATACAGCCTATCTGATTCTCCAGTTTCACGTGCTTCCTAATGCTCTCCCGCTGCTACAGTCCACTCACCCTGGCTGCCTCTGTATCCCATAAACACTTCAACTCTGCCCACTTCAGCCCTCTCTACTTTGTTCTTGACACTTCCTGGTTGTTCTCTCCCCAGATCTTTGTGGGCTGGCTCGTTCTTCTCATTTAGGTCTCAGCTTAAATGTTACCTCCCCAGAAAAGTCTTTCTTGATCACCCTACCTAAAGAAACCTACCCTAGACTCCCTCTACCCATTCCCTTTTTTTGAGTCACTTAACATTATCTCAAATGGTATTATTTATTTGTTTCTTTGTCAATTACCAGACTTCATGTGAGCTTCATGAGAGCCAAGGCCACACTGTATCCCCAGCATATAGAGCAGTGCTTGGCACATGATTAAAAAGTATTTTGAATGAATGAATGCATGGATCAATGTTTTAAGTTCAGGCATGCCTGGCTGGCAGAAACTGATGTGAAACCTTCAAGGGTTTCTACCTAAACTTTCAGTCCTGACCACAGAATAAATGATTACAAGAACATTACTTTGAGTCCTCTCTGGGCAAGTTGGCTACCTGGATGACAGGGATGGAAGAGTATTTCCTCTCCAGTCGGCGTACATAGGCTGCGAGCTCCAGGGCCTCTTCATAATAACTGTTCCGGACACAGGTGTCCATGAGCTGAGGAATCTCTAGTATTTCCAGGATTTCTGTGTGCCGGTTTAGAGTCAAGCTGTTCATCCGGCGGTTGGAGCTGATCTCTTCAGCTTCCTTCACAAAGTTCCTAGTAAAAATTAGAAGAATGTTGGTCCTTCACTACTCTGTACCCAAACCTTAGCTACAGTTACCAAGCACCTGCTATGAACATTGGGCTGGATGATCTACCTGATTTATTTCTCACGCCCCACCTATAAGGTAAGTACTGTTACACCTGAGGAAATTTTTAATCTCAGAGAGGTTAAGCAACTTATTCCAAAACATACAACTAATAAATCTAACAGATCTAAATCCAGATATGCCACCTGCTGGCTGTGGCAAGGTATTTGGCCTCTCTGAACCTACTCCCTCATTGGTAAAACAGTATATAGGGCCAGGCCCAGTGGCTCACACCTACATTCCCAGCACTTTTTTGGAGCCCAAGGCAGGCAGATCACTTGAGGCCAGGAGTTCAAGTGAAATTCCATCTCTACTAAAAATACAAAATAGCCAGGTGTGGTGGCGCGTGCCTGTAGTCCCAGCTACTTGGTAGGCTGAGGCAGGAGAATCGTTTGAACCCAGGAGGCGGAGGCTGCAGTGAGCTGAGAACACGCCACTGCACTCCAGCCTAGGTGACAGAGCAAGACTCTGTCTCCAAAAATAAATAAATAAATAAAATTATACAGGACCCTCCTCATAAGGGTGTAAGAACTAAATTAAATGATGTGTGTGAAGCATTTAACACAGAATCTGACACAGAGCCAATGTGTCAGAGTAAAAATTGTAAGGCCGGACATGGTGGCTCACGCCTGAATCCCAGCACTTTGGGAGGCCGAGGCGGGTAGATCAGGAGGTCAAGAGATCGAGACCACCCTGGTCAACATGGTGAAACCCCGTCTCTACTAAAAATACAAAAAATTAGCTGGGCATGGTGGCACATGCCTGTAATCCCAGCTACTCAGGAGGCTGAGGAAGGAGAATTGCCTGAACCCAGGAGGCAGAGGTTGCGGTGAGCCGAGATCGCACCATTGCACTCCAGCCTCGGTAACAAGAGCGAAACTCCATCTCAAAAAAAAAAAAAACAGTAAAAATTGTAAATAAGAAACAGAGTTAAATATTTAACAACAGCTATCATTATTTTCATAATAAAGCACTAACTACCCTAGAATCCAAAATCTTTCCCCATATTCCCTCAGGTCTTCACCTTCTCCTGTGCTAATGTTCAACCATAGTTCCTGTCACAGTCTACTTTCAACATATCTTCTCTATATTTGCAGAGACCTGCTTTATCACGTTACGTATCTATTCTGGAGCATGGAAGGGTACAAAAGCTGCTGTCAAATATCCAAAGGCGCAGTGACTCATGCCGGTAATTCCAGCACTGCAGAAGGCCAAGGTGGGCGGATCATCTGAGGTTGAGAGTTCGAGACCAGTTTAACCAAGATGGAGAAACCCCGTCTGTACTAAAAATACAAAATTAGCTGGGCATGGTGGCGTGCCCCTGTAGTCCCAGCTACTTGGGAGGCTGAGGCAGGATAATCACTTGAACCTGGGAGGCAGAGGTTGCAGTGAGCTTAGACAGAGCCATTGCTCTCTAGCCTGGGCAACAAGAGTGAAACTCCGTCAAAAAAAAAAAAAAGAAAAACAAAAATTAAACTTTAATCATGAAAGGCTGGAAAGCAGAACTATGGATAATGGACAGGATCTACGAAGACAGAGTATGACTCAAAAAGGCCTTTTTTTTTTTTTTTTTTTTTTGAGACGGAGTTTCGCTCTTGCTACCCAGGCTGGAGTGCAATGGCGCGATCTCGGCTCACCGCAATCTCCGCCTCCTGGGTTCAGGCAATTCTCCTGCCTCAGCCTCCCGAGTAGCTGGGATTACAGGCACGCACCACCGTGCCCAGCTAATTATTTGTAATTTTAGTAGAGACGGGGTTTCAACATGTTGACCAAGATGGTCTCGATCTGTTGACCTCGTGATCCACCCGCCTCGGCCTCCCAAAGTGCTGGGATTACAGGCTTGAGCCACCGCGCCCGGCCGGCCTTTTTTTTTTTTTGGAGGCTGTCTAGCTCTGTTGTCAGGCTGGAGTGCAGTGGCACAATCTCAGCTCACTGCAACCTCTGCCTCCCAAGTTCAAGCGATTCTCCTGCCTCAGCCTCCCAAATAGCTGGGACTACGTATGGCATGTACCATCATGCCCAGCTAATTTTTTTTTTTTTTGAGACGAAGTTTCGCTCTTGTTACCCAGACTGGAGTGCAATGGCGCGATCTCGGCTCACTGCAACCTCTGCCTCCTGGGTTCAAGCAATTCTCCTGCCTCAGCCTCCCAAGTAGCTGGGATTACAGGCACACGCCACCATGCCCAGCTAATTTTTTGTATTTTTAGTAGAGACAGGGTTTCACCATGTTGACCAGGATGGTCTCGATCTCTTGACCTCGTGATCTGCCTGCCTCAGCCTCCCAAAGTGCTGGGATTACAGGTGTGAGCCACCATGCCTGGCTTTTTTTTTTGAGACAGAGTTTTACTCTGTCACCCAGTCTGGAATACAGTGGCACAATCACAGCCCCACGGCTGCCTCAATCTCCAAGACTGGAGTGCAGTGGCGCAATCATAGATAACTGCAGCCTCAATCTCCCAGGCCCAAGTGATCCTTCCACCTCAGCCTCCTGAGTAGCTGGGACTATAGGCACATGCCACCATGCCCAGCTCTTTTTTTTTTTTTTTACTTTGAAGAGACACGGTTTGCCATGTTGGCGAGGCTGCTCTTGAACTCCTGGGTTCAAGCCTCTGGTTCCCAAAGTGCTGGGATTACAGGCTGAGCCACCACATCCAGCCATCCAAAAGGAGAGATTCTTTGCTATTTGATGCCCTCAGATGGGAGGAATTCCTTGTCAGCTTCCTGTCAATGAAAGTTTTGAAGCAGATGACCTCCGTCCCAAGCTTTCGTATAAAATAAGTACATGAATGTGCAGATACATTCAGCTCACACCTATAATGTCAGTTATGTCAGACGCGGTAATAATAGCTTTGCATGAATCCTTTTTCTTTAGTGCTCACAACAGCCCTTCAAGGGAGGGACGTGCTCCTAGGTATCCAGTTCTGAATTCGAACCCCCCTAGTAGCGCTCTTAGATGTCACTAATCTCTGTCTTGACTAGTTCATATGTAAAATGGAAATAACAGGGCCGGGCGCGGTGGCTCACACCTGTAATCCTACCACTTTGGGAGCTGAGGCAGGTGGATCACGAGGTCAGGAGTTCGAGACCATCCTGGCCAACATGGTGAAACCCCGTCTCTACTAAAAACACACAAAAAATTAGCTGGGCATGATGGCATGCGCCGGTGGTCCCAGCTACTCAGGAGGCAGAGGTAGGAGAATCGCTTGAAGCCGGGAGGCTGAGGCTGCAGTGACCTGAGATCGCGCCACTGCACTCCAGTCCGGCGACAGGGCGAAACTCTATCTCAAAAAAAAAAAAGTGTGTTGGCGGCGGGGAGAATAGCAGTACCTACCTTGAAGGCTGTTGTGAGGTTTAAATGGATTAATAAGGCGCTCAGCAGAGAGCCTGGACGTGGTAAACGCTTTGTGTTAGCTATTTCTACCATCTTAAACGTCAGCTTTTACAGTTAAAAAGCCCCTTTAGCGCAAGGAGCATCTCACCTGCAGCTCTGCTGGAAGCTGGGCAAGCGGTCGAGCAGGCGACTGAGCGACGCCTCCACGTCTCCAAAGAGGCAGTGGATGCGCTCGGTGCACTCGGCGCCACGGATGAAGGTCTTGTAGTTGGCGAAAGCCAAGTCACGCGTCTGCTGCAACAGCTGAGCCCGCTCCTCCGCCAGGCGCTCGGGCTCGCGCCGCAGCCGCTCCAGCCCCGAGCCGCTCAACTCCCGGAGATAGCGGCCCACATCGGGCCGCTCGCGCCACTGGGCTTCCGGGAAGCGGTCTCGGAACAGCGACGCTAGGAGCCCTTCATCCTCCACCTCACCGAGAGCCGCCGCCGTGGCCGAGGCTGACGATGAGCTAATCGCCGTCGCCGCCATCTTGCCAACAGCAACGTCACTTCCCCGCCTGACCACCGAGGGCGCAAACTCAATTTAGAACAGGAAGAAACAGGCACATTTCCGGTCTCTACGTTTTCTCATCCGGCCGGCTTGCTTTCCTCGGCGGTCGTCCGGCTATTGGGCACCAGCGAGAGGAAGGCTTGGTACGGGACTAGAGAGGCAGGCTTTGGGGTTGCCTGGGAGCTGCGGGGCAGCGAGTTCCGTTTCCGGTTGCCGAGGCACGAGGATCTGGTGTTCTAACCCAGTGGGAAAATGCGGCCTTTGACTGAAGAGGAGACCCGTGTCATGTTTGAGAAGATCGCGAAATAGTAGGAGCGCGCGGGGCGGACGAGGGTGTGTGTGTGGGGGGGTGACTAGTGGTGGAGTGGGGACGCGGTGCCATTCGGGCGCGGCCTCCAGTCCTCCTTTTGCCCTCAGCATTGGGGAGAATCTTCAGCTGCTGGTGGACCGGCCAGACGGCACCTACTGTTTCCGGCTGCACAACGACCGGGTGTACTATGTGAGGTGAGGCGGGGAGCAAGCAGCATGGTTCCGGGGAAGGGAGTCCTGGGTCCCACCAGCCTCCTTCATCCGCAACCTTGCTCCCACTTTAGTGAGAAGATTATGAAGCTGGCCGCCAATATCTCTGGAGACAAGCTGGTGTCTCTGGGGACCTGCTTCGGAAAGTTCACTAAGACCCACAAGTTTCGGTTGCACGTCACAGCCCTGGATTACCTTGCACCTTATGCCAAGGTTTGTGGGGTGGTTTCCATTCCGCCACCGGCGATGAAGTTAAGGATGAGGCAGATTATCAGGCAGCTTCTCTCACAGAGTCTCTGTCAATGTGCTTGGGGGTGTCAGGACGTGGAGATGTGCAGAAGCCTTGCAGCTTGGGCATGGTCAAGGCTATGGCATGGGAGTGCTGTGTGGCTGCATAGTGGTAGTTTTCTCCAGCAAAATAGAAAAGCCTATGCAGACCCAGCTCGAGATCAGAAAGCAAATAAGTGGCTGCAGTGAGGACACCGGGATCCAGAAAAAGAGCTGTTAACCTGGCCATGGAAGATAATCCTTGTAGAGTTGAGAACTTTTTGCATTTCTTTTAATTTCTTCTTTGTCTTTCCTTTCTTCTTTCTGACACAATTCACAATGTCTCCCAGGCTAGAGTGCAGCAGCATCTTATTAATCTGTATTTCTTTGCATTTTTTGCATTTCTCATTCATTTCGGCTCGCTGCAGCCTTTGCCTTCCGGATTCCAGCGATTCTCGTGCCTCAGCCCGCTGTGTACCTGGGATTACTGGTGTGCGCCACAATGCCTGGCTTATTTTTTGTGTGTTTTTAGTAGAGACAGGGTTTTGCCGTGTTGGCCAGGCTGGTCTCGAACTTCTGGCCTCAGGTGATCCACCTGCCTCGGCCTCCCAAAGTGCTGAGATTATAAGCATGAGCCACTGTGCGAGGCAACTTTCTGCTTTTCTGTTCAGGAGATGGATAGTTTGAGGGAAACGTGTCTGTTTCCCTTAAAATTATTTCAGAAAATTATCCACAGATCCAGCAGCTAGCTTGTCTGCAGGGATAGAAACAGTAACGTTTTTGTGTCTCTTGGATTTTAATTCTCTTTCTTATAGTATAAAGTGTGGATAAAGCCTGGCGCAGAGCAGTCCTTCCTTTATGGGAACCATGTGTTGAAATCTGGTCTGGGTCGAATCACCGAAAATACTTCTCAGTACCAGGGCGTGGTGGTATACTCCATGGCAGACGTCCCTTTGGTGAGTAAAGATGGTTAGCTGTTACAAAAATCAAGTACTCTTATAACTCAATCAAGACAGTTGCAGGTGGGCAAAAAAAAAAAAAAAATCAAGTACTCTTTTATTCAAGAAGGATATGTTTTTAATCTATGTGCTTGAGAGACTAAATTCTCAGCACCTTTTGAATTCCAGAAAGACCAGAACTGTATTTTTTCCATCTTTGTTATTTCTAGCCCTCAGTATGGGCATATTGAACGACTTCAGAAAATTAGTGTCTCTTCTTTTGAATCCCAGGGTTTTGGGGTGGCAGCAAAATCTACACAAGACTGCAGAAAAGTAGACCCCATGGCGATTGTGGTGTTTCATCAAGCAGACATTGGGGAATATGTGCGGCATGAAGAGACGCTGACTTAAAACGAACTCGTTGCAAGGACAGACGGCTGTGTTGAAGGGCTGAGCTTTGTTTCCTGTGTTTGTGTAGACTGTCATCATGTTGAATTTTGTCATCACTCTGACCTCTTCAGGGACTTCTTAGTTTACTGTATTCTCTATCACTGACAAATGCAGGCTGGAATAATACTGTATACAGAGATGGCTCAAAAATGGGGTTTCAGATCTTTGTGTTTGTGACAAACTAGAATACTCTTTCATATTCAAATCAGAGGGCTTCTTGTTCTGAGAAATAGGTTGAAAATCTTTGGAACTAGGAACAAGAATAGCTTATTGTTATCTGTGATAACACTTTTTTTCTAAACTCATGATAAGAACACATGGATTTTTTCATTAATATGAAAGATAGACATTGCCATATCAGAATAGTAGGCCACCTGTGGGGTTTTACAAATGAAATTTGGCTAAAATAATAAGAGCAATTTGTTCAGCTGTTTTTCTATACACTAAGTGCTATGCAGTATGGAAGAAAAATGGGTTCAAATCCCAGTTCTGCCACCTACCAGCTTTATGGCCTTGAATGAGTCATTCAGCTTTTTTTTTAAATTTATTTAATTAATTTTGGTCAGGCTGGTCTTGAACTCCCAACCTCAGGTGATCCACCCGCCTTGGCCTCCAAAGTGCTTGGATTACAGGTGTGAGTCACCACGCCTGGCCGTCATTGAGCTTTAATAAGGTTCATTTTCTTCTGTTTAAAAAAAGACACAAAATTTAAAAAGCCGCTTTAGCCATATAACTGAGAATTAGAAATTCTAATTTTTGGAATTAGAAATCATGTTTGTAGCTGGGTGCAGTGGCTCACGCTTGTAATCCAAGCACTTTGGGAGGCCAGCGCAGGCGGATCACTTGAGGAGTTCAACACCAGCCAACATGGTGAAACCTCGTCTGTAGTGAAAATACAAAAAAATTAGCCAGGTGTGGTGGTACATGCCTGTAGTCCTAGCTACTTGGGAGGCTGAGGCAGGAGAATGGCAGTAACCCGGGAGGCAGAGGTTGCAGTGAGCCAAGATCATGACATTGCACTCCAGCCTGAGCAACAGAGCGAGACTCTGTCTCAAACGAACAAACAAACAAAAAGCAATCATGATTGTAAAGTGTCTCGTATAGTGCCTGGGAAATGATAAGTCTGGAATAAATGGTAAGAATTATTTTTATGTTATATATATTATGTATTTGTTATTGAGTGTAGAGTTTTATTAGTATAATTTTATTCTTTTTTACAAGCTGTTTTCTCAGTTTTTTTTCTTGGATGGGATGACCCTAGGCTGGAATGTTTTTTTCATCACTGTGGTTTTATAAAACATAATATTTTCTATGAACCTTTGCTTACTTGACTGGATTGGACTAAAGACTACCTGTATTGCAAAACTACACTGTTTCTTTAATGAATATACTGCTTAATTTCCAAAGGCAGGGTCTTTAAAAATAAAACATTACCAACTCCTGCTTTTACATGTAAGCAAACTTGATTTTGGCCTGTCTTTTTCAACTCTTCTCACATCTAAGGTGTTCTGTTAACCTCTAAGCAGACTCAGTGAAAGCTAAGGTACTGCTATATGATAAACAGTATTTTGATACATACATTTCATACATACTTCAGAACTTTTTCATTGTTATTCTTTATTGCCATTTTGCCTTTTTCGATGTGTGCAGCAGACTTAAACATTTATGAGATAAATTGATTTTTGTCCCAGAGGGTTGTTACAAAGCTGATTCGACTAAGCTTCTGCCCCAGAAGAAAAGAGCCAGGGTGCTGTAGTCAGCTTAACTTAGCATCTTGGCTTCTTTGTGTCTGTAGTTGTTGGAACATTGAAGAGACGCTTCAAGAAATACAGTTGCAGGATCCCAGAAAGAATAATAACAAGGCTCTGGGCTGTGGACCACCAGTTCACATAATGGTAGTTTGACTGGAGAAGGAAAAAGTCAGCCATTTTCCTCATCCGGGCAAAGTTGTAGTATCGCCACATGTGAAAGATGCTGTTCTGCACCTTTTGTGTGCTGTCCTATGAGAGAGAAAATTTTAAAAGGGATTCTTCCAAACCCCCGTCTAGCCTCACCTGGGTGCTCACCAGCACTAACCTAAGTTATCTGGATGTCAAATAATTTACCCATATGATTTTAAGATGTATAATAGTATTATAGTTATTGATAAATGTTGTGTTTGCTATGTATAAAATATGGTCTGGACTTTAGTTTAAAATTTTTGTTTCTGTTTTTTGGGACAGTCTCACTTTTTTGCCCAGGCTGGAATACAGTGGTGCAGTCACAGCTCATGCAGCCTTAACCTTCTGGGCTCAAGTGATCTTCCCACCTCAGCCTCCCTAGCAGCTGGGACTGCAGGCACATGCCACCATACCCAGCTAATTTTTTTTTTTTTTTTTGGTAGAGATGGAATTTCACTAGGTTTCCCAATCTAGTCTCAAACTCCTGGGCTCAGGCTATCCTATCTCGGCCTCCCAGAGTACTGGGATTACAGGTGTTGAACCACCTCACCTGGCCTAAAATGGGCAAAGGAATCAAATAGACATTTCTCCAAAGAAGATACAGAGATGGCCAATAAGCACATAGAAAGATGCTCAACGTTATTAATCATTAAGGAAATGCAATCAAAACCGCAAGATAACATTTCACACCCACTATGATGGCTTCAACAAAAAAGACAATAACAAGTGGTGAGGAAGTAGAGAAATTAGAACCTTCATACACTACTAGAAGGAGCTTAAAATGGTTCGGCCACTGTGGTAAAGTCTCCAGCAATTCTACTTTCAGATATACAGAAATGAAAACATGGTAACACAAAAACTTGTATGCAATGCTCATAGCAGTGTTAGGATAGCCAGAAGGTAGAAAAACCTAAATGTCCATCATGTCCATTAACTGATGAATGGATAAATAAGATGTATATCCATAATTATTCAGCCATAAAGAGAAATAAAAGTACTGATACATGCTACAACATGGATGAACCTTGAGAACACGCTAAATTAAAGAACCCAGTCTTGGCTGGGCATGGTGATTCACACTTGTAATCCCAAGACTTTGGGAGGCCAAGGTGGGCAGATCACCTGAGGTCAAGAGTTCGAAACCAGCTTGGCCAATATGGTGACAATTGTCTCTACTGAAAATGCAAAAATAGTTGGCATGGTGTTGGGTGCCTGTAATCCCAGCTACTTGGGAGGTTAAGGCAGGAGAATCCCTTGAACCCTGGAGGCGGAGGTTGCAGTGAACAGAGACTATGCTATTGCACTCCATCGTAGATAACAAGAAGGAAACTCCATCTCAAAAAATAAAAATAAGCCAGACACAAAAGCCCACGTACTGTGTGATTCCACTTAAATAAAGTATATGGAGGCCAGCCACAGTGGCTCAAAGTGCTGAGTAATCTCAGCACAGTAGCTCAAAATGCATAGTAATCTCAGCTCAGTGGCTCAAAGTGCTGAATCTCAGCCCTTTGGCAAGCTGAGGTGGGAGGATTGCTTGAGCTTAGGAAGTTGAGACTGCAGTGAGCTGTGATCAAACCACTGCACACTCCAGCCTGGACAATAAGAGTGAGACCATGTCTCAGAAATTAAGTACAGAACAGGTAAATCTATAGAGACAGTAGAATAGTGATTGGCAGGCCTGGGGTGATAAGAGAATGGGAGAATGACTAATGGGTAGTGGGATTGGGAGGGGGTGGGTGGGTGATAAACTTCTGGAATTAGATGCTAATAGTTGCAAAACCTTGTGAATATACCAAAAAACCACTTAATTATACACTTTAAGATGGTATATGGTAGATAAATTATATCTCAATTTCAAGAAAAACAGGCTAAGAGTTAAGACTTTGAGGGAAAACATTTATAGAAAAAAAAAAAAAAACGGGCAATGGGCCAGATTTGGCCTGTGATACATAGTTTGCCAACCCTTGTTATAAAACAAAGGAGGGGGGCCGGGCACGGTGGCTCAAGCCTGTAATCCCAGCACTTTGGGAGGCCAAGGCGGTGGATCACCAGGTCAAGAGACTAAGACCATCCTGGTCAACATGGGGAAACCCCATCTCTACTAAAAATGCAAAAAATTAGCTGGGCCTGGTGGCGTGTGCCTGTAATCCCAGCTACTCAGGAGGCTGAGGCAGGAGAACTGCCTGAACCCAGGAGGCAGAGATTTTGGTAAGCCGAGATCGTGTCATTGCACTCCAGGCTGGGTAACAAGAGCAAAACTCCGTCTCAAAAAAAAAAAAAGGAGGAATTTCAAGTGCTTCAAGTTATTTATTAAAAGATAAACATCCCCTTGCCTGTTTGGTTTCTACCTAAATGAAGCCATCTTCCCTCCAAAGTTAAAATTGGTTTCCACAGATGTTTCTCTTCACAAAACACTTCCTTACCTCTATTGCATCCAGAGTATCGTTCAGTTGTTTTCTTTCCTTTTGTTTGTGATCAATCTCAGGCCCCTCATAGAAAACTCCAAAGTTGAGGTACACTTGCACGGAAGCGAAGTGATTATGCTGATTACTTAGACAAAGCTGATAAAAACCTGTAAGAATTCCTAGATCATTACCAAGTCTTTGGTCTCCTACCCTTTGTTAAGAAATTCCTGGAGGTATCTGTCCTCCAGTGTTGGAATTGTTACTATGGCACGTTCTTTTTACTTAGAAAGTACGAAGATCCCATTTTTGACATGGAAGACACAGATGTTGTGTGAAACTTATACTAAATATTACTTATTCTATTTGGCCAAATTTTAGTAACTTTAGTTCTTTCCATACCAGGTAGCAAACAATGTTTTCTCTCTCTTTTCCAACATAGAATTTCCACATCTTGTATTAAAGAGCTCCTGCTCAACAGACTGAGTTGAAATTAAGAGCATGGTGTTTGCCTGGTCCTTGTACACCATTAGAGCTAGGGACACCATCTTGAACTTGATATTACAGAAGAAAAAAGAAAGGATGCATACATAGTGCATGAAAGCAGCTCTCCTGCTGGAGTGATTGCCCCCAAGGCCGTCTGTGCAGAGACTGATGGTTTGGGATATCTGCTGGTGCTGGGGTTGCCTCCGTGTGTGTGTGCAGGGGTGGAGGGGACAGGTAGAAGATGAGGTGGTGGTATTTGAAAGTCAAAATGGCTGGGCGCGGTGTAGTCCCAGCTACTTGGAAGGCTGAGGCTGGAGGATCACTTGAGCCCAGGAGTTCTGGGCTGTAGTGTGCTATGCCGATCGGGTGTCCGCACTAAGTTTGGCAACAATATGGTGACCTCCTGGGAGCTGGGGACCACCAGGTTGCCTAAGGAGGGGTGAACCGGCCCAGGTCAGAAATGGAGCAGGTCAAAACCCCTGTGCTGATTAGTAATGGGATCGCGCCTGTGAATAGCCACTGCACTCCAGCCTGGGCAATATAGCGAGACCGTCTCTTAAAAAAAAAGAAAGTCAAAATGATTGAAAGGTACTACTGGCATGTAGTGCCCAAAGATGTTCCAATTTTTTTTTGAGATGGAGTCTCGCTCTGTCACCCAGGCTGCAATGCAGTGGTGTGATCTTGGCTCATGGTAGCCTCTGCCTCCTGGGTTCAAGTGATTCTCCTGCCTCAGCCTCCCAAGTAGCTGGGAGTGCAGGCATGCACCACCATGCCCTGCTAATTTTGTAATTTTAGTAGAGATGGGGTTTCTCCATGTTGGTCAGGCTGGTCTTGAACTCCCAGCCTCAGGTGATCCGCCCGCCTCAGCCTCCCAAAGTGCTGGGATTACAGGGGTGAGCCGTCACGCCTGGCCAGCCATGCATTTTCTTTTTTTCTGCATCTGCTTTTAGTAACTGGCTCAAATATTCTGATGACTGGAAAGAAATGCTTCCCTGTAATACATTTGTTAATTGGAATTCTGTATTATAAATGGGTCTCTGTTTTTTGGTCACTTTCCCAGAATCTGATCAATTGGAGACGATGAGATAAAAGGGAGCTGCTCGCCTCCCTTCCTCTCCCCTCCTTCCTCTCCTCCCTCCTCCCTCCTCCCCTAAAAAAAAAAAAAAGAGAAAGAGAAAAAAAAAAGATTGAGCTGCTCACCTGGAGATGCTGCCCCCAAATTATCAGTAGACTGCCACTTGGCATCCTTGGAGGTCAGCAGTCTCTAGGAACACTGGTTTTTGGTGTTAAAGACTGATTTTTTTTCCCTACTGTTTAAACATCTCTGTATACGTCCTCATAATTACCCTAATTTTATAGGACCTTATGATTATTATGATAGCCATGGTCATGAAAACAGACCTGTCTCTTGGGTAGAGAAGTTAATCTGGCCCCGAACATCCTGGGAAGTGTCTATGAGAAATCCCTGTGGGTTGTGTGCAGTGGCAGCAACATGCCGGTCATGTGACATCCCCACGGTCCGCTGAACCTGCCAAGACACATTAAATAGCGAGCAAAACCCCTGCTACATCAAGAGGAAGCCAGCTGAGTGGTAAGATTGATGTCCCACAGTCATCAGCACAGGGGTCTCATCTGGGGTGGGACTGCCCACTGGGTTTTGGAATTGACTGGCGGATTGTGAGGTGTCACAGTGACGGTGTTAAGGGGAGGACGCACAGCAATACTGAATGTCTGCAGTGTTAGAAACAGTACAGTAGGACAAAGAACTGCCCAGAATGCCACCAGCACCCCTGTAAAGAAGGAGCCATGTCTTGCTTGGACCACACAGCTGAAGTGGATGATTTGGGCTGGGCATGGTGGCTCACACCTGTAATCCCAGCATTTTGGGAGGCCGAGGCAGATGGATTGCAAGGTCAAGAGTTCAAGACCAGCCTAGCCAACATGGTGAAACCCCACCTCTACTAAAAAAATACAAAAATTGGCCGGGCATGGTGGCTCACACTTGTAATCCTAGCACTTTGGGAGGCCAAGGCAGGTGGATTGCCTGACCTCAGGAATTCCAGACCAGCCTGGGCAACTTGGTGAAACCTCATCTCTACTAAAATACAAAAGAAATTAGCTGGGCATGGCAGCGTGTGCCTGTAGTCCCAGCTACTTGGGAGGCTAAGGCAGGAGAATTGCTTGAACCCAGGAGGCGGAGGTTGCAGTGAGCAGAAATCACGCCATTGCACTCCAGCCTGGATGACAGAGCAAGACTCCGGCTCTACAAAAAATAATAATAATAATAATAATACAAAAATTAGCTGGGCATGGTGGTGTGGGACTGTAATCCCAGCTACTCGGGAGGCTGAGGCACGAAGATCACTTGAACCTGGGAGGTGGAAGTTGCAGTGAGCCAAGATCATCCCACTGCACTCCAGCCTCAGTGGCAGAGCAAGACTCTGTCTTAAAAAAAAAAAAAAAAAAGTACAATTCTGGTTGTAGAGTTGTCTTTTTTCTTTTTTTGAGACAGTCTCACCCTGTCACCCAGGCTGGAGTGCAGTGGCTCAATCCCAGCTCAATGCAACCCCCACCTCCCAAGTTCAAGCAATTCTCCCACCTCAGTCAATCAAGTAAGCTGGGATTACAGGCACGAGCGGCCAAGCCCAGCTGTTTTGTATTTTTAGTAGAGACGGAGTTTTGCCATATTGCCTGGGATGGTCTCAAACTCCTGACGTCAGGTGATCTGCCCGCCTCAGCCTCCCAAAGTGCTGGGATTACAGGTGTGAGCCACCGCACCTGGCCTGGCTATAGAATTCTTGAATGAAGTTGCTTGGTGGTTGAGCTCCCCGAAGGTGTCCCAGATTTGGGCATTTGCTGCTTGGCAGTGCACACCTACAGCAAGCACTCCATGGACACTCGCTCCCAAGTTAGATCTTGATTAGCCCAGGCCACAGTACGTTGAGTAGTGGCTGCTGTTCTAATATAAATTCAGAGGTAAGTAAGGCTCTGATAAGTTTATTTAAAATAAATGTTGTTACTGTGGAGTGGAATAAGATCAACATAATCAACATAGTCTATTACTATGTAAACAAAAATTAGTAAGTTAACAGATCTTTAACATAAAGAACAAAGGAAATGAACAGCCTCTAACTTTGGTATTGAGCTTACCATCCTGGGACAGCATGGTGTAAGAACATAGAATGGATAAAAATCCTTGACCTATGAACAGGTAACTTGAAAACAATTACCTTCCTAAAAAAGAAAAAAAAAAATAGGATTGTCTGGCTGAATAGAAAAAACTTGAGCTAGTGATTCTCCAATTTGCCAGAATTTCTCCTAGAGGCGGCAGCAGAGTCTTTACTCCCCCACCCCCATAAACTGAAGTGGCTTTTTTTTTTTTTTTTGAGACAGAGTTTTGCTCTTGTTGCCCAGGCTGGGTGCAATGGCGCAAGCTCAGCTCACTGCAACCTCCGCCTCCTGGTTTCGAGCAATTCTTCTGCCTCAGCCTCCCATGTCCCTGGGATTACAGGTGCCTGCCACCATGCCCAACTAATTTTTGTTATTTTTAGTAGAGATAGGGTTTCATCAAGGCCGGGTGTGGTGGCTCAAGCCTGTAATCCCAGCACTTTGGGAGGCCAAGGCGGGTGGATCACGAGGTCAAGAGATCGAGACCATCCTGGTCAACATAGTGAAACCCCATCTCTACTAAAAATACAAAAAATTAGCTGGGCATGGTGGCGTGTGCCTGTAATCCCAGCTACTCAGGAGGCTGAGACAGGAGAATTGCCTGAACCCAGGAGGCGGAGGTTGCGGTGAGCCGAGATCGCGCCATTGCGCTCCAGCCTTGGTAACAAGAGCGAAACTCCGTCTCAAAAAAAAAAAAAAAAAGAGATAGGGTTTCATCATGTTGGCCAGGCTGGTCTCAAACTCCTGACCTTGGGGGATGCACCCTCCTTGGCCTCCTAAAGTGCTAGAATTACAGGTGTGAGCCACCATGCCCGGCCATGAAGTGGCTTTCTTTGAAATCTCTGGATCAGTCTCCAAAGAACCATATACATTTTAATATTTTAAAAATGTATTCTCTCCCCCCTTACCCACAAATCTGAGTATATGTAATGATGACCTCTTCAGAAAGAGGCACCCTGTCTGCCCCATAGCTTTGAGCATGGCCCTTAGGTGAGAAGCCAAACCATATGCTTTAGCTCCTGTTGATTATTCACCCATCTGGAGTTTCCCTCTAACTGCAGCTCCATTTCATTAACAGGTAGAGAATCACAGCATGATAAAGACAACCTGACCTTGTTTTCATCTAAAACCTGATCCACTTTATGAGTAAAGGAGAAAAAAAAGCCCCCAGTATGGCCAGTCACCCACATACCTCATAACTGAAATAGAAGTATCCAGTCTGGTGGGCAAATTGCCAAAAGCATTCCGTGCCTCCTGGAGGGATCATGATGGCAAAGTCATATCGATCAGCTCCATGGAAGGGTGGCTGGTCCCCAGAGCCACTCAGAGGTTCTGTCTTCTGGCTCCTGGCAGACGTCACCAGATTCAAAACCACCAGCCCAGCCCCAAAGAGCAAGGGGGACATGCTGCTTTCTGGAGCCTCCTCTGCAGGTGAACTGCTCGCAGCCTAGGGAAATCAAGTCGTTGAGACAACCGCTGGGGTAATGATTAACTGCACAAGTCACATTTAGGCCCATTTCAGTGCCACACATAGATATTCATAATAGAACTGCCATGATACTCCTGTGTTTGGCTCACAGGAGGAAGTTTTGCTTTCACCTCATAAACTCAGTGGCTTACTTCATGGGTACTACAAAGAATCTGCCACCTCAGAAGAGGTCTTTCCACCCTTTCTTAGGGCTGTCATTTTTTAGTTCTTGCTTCTTGGGGATATAACACTGGGTAAGTTTATAACTTTGTGAATACACTGACAAAAATTTGGCTAGGGAGATTGTTCGGTTACATCAAATTCTCCTACAAACACTTATCTCTGCCCAATGCTGCAGCTCAGAGCAAATCACAGCATGTGTGTGTGCAAAGATGTAAATGGATGAACACAGTGCCAAGATGGTGCTCACACCCCTCCATTGATAGTCCTTGTCCTGATACCTTCTACCTAAGAGTCACCTAAAGCTATCCAAACCCACTGAAAGAGGATATTATTAAAAACCTCAATAGTTCTCTTTTTTCCAGAGACAGAGTGTCACTCTGTCACCCAGGCTAGAGTGCAGTGGCACAGTCTTGGTTCACTGCAACCACCACCTCCCGGGTTCAAGTGATTCTCCTGCATCAGCCTCTCGAGTAGCTGGAACTACAGGCACCCACCATCACACCCAGCTAAATTTTGTATTTTTAGTAGAGGCAGGGTTTTACCATGTGGGCCAGGCTGGTCTCGAACTCCTGACCTCAGATGATCCACCTTCCTTGGCCTCCTAGAGTGCTGAGATTACAGGCATGAGACACCACGCCCAGCCTTAGATCTTTTTTTTCCTTTGGGACGGAGTCTTGCTCTGTTGCCCAGGCTGGAGTGCAGTGGTGTGATCTCAGCTCACTGCAACCTCCGGCTCCCAGGTTCAAGCAATTCCCTGCCTCAGCCTCGCAAGTAACTGGGATTACAGGTGCCCGCCACCATGCCTGGCAAATTTTTGAATTTTTAGTAGAGACAGGGTTTCACTATCTTGGCCAGGCTGGTCTTTAACTCCTGATCTCGTGATCTACCCTTGGCCTCCCAAAGTACTCAGATTACAGGCGTGAGCCACCGTGTCTGGCTGATCTTCCTTTTATTCATGTCTTCTTCAGCACCCATGGGGGGAAAAACTATCCAGAACCTACTTAAAGACAATTATATTATTCACATCCTCAATCTTTATTCTTTTATTCATGATTTCAACATTCACCTACTTCATGGCAGGCAGTGAGCTAACATTTACCTGCATCTTATCCTCATCATAGCTCTGCAAGGGAGGTACTGTGAGCTCCGGTATTGGAGATGAGGACACAAATATTCAGAGATTCCAGCGGTGGCACAGTTCCACAAACACACTTGGCAGAACGGGGTCCCCAGTGGGGGCTCAGGCTCTTAACCACCAGGACAGTATTTCTCATTCTCAAGCTGTCAGTTTCTGAGTTCTGACACTGCCTAAACATTATTTAGACATAATTTTTTCTTTTTTTTTTTTTGCTTCCTTGAGACAGTGTCACTCCATCTTCCAGGCTGGAGTGCAGTGGCACAAACATAGCTCACTGCAGCCTTACCCTCTTGGGCTCAAATGATCATCCCACCTCGGCCTCCCGAATAGCTGGGTCCACAGGAGTGCACCACCACACCTGCCTGATTTTTGTCTTGTTTGTAAAGATGGGGTTTCACCATGTTGCCCAGGTTGGTCTCAAACTCCTGGGCTCAAGCAATCCCCATGCCTTGGCCTCCAGAAATGCTAGGATTACAGGTGTGAGTGACTGTGCCTGGCCTTAGTCATAATCTTAAAAAACAAAAAACAAAACAGTATTAACATCTTCTAGCAAATATTTGCATTACTCAGTGTCACAAGCTAATAAAGCAGAAAACAGACTCCATAACTATGGTTCAGTTCTAGCAAAGGTCAAATGATATCACAGCATTCTGGGAGCACAGTGGCTTGTGGCAGTCTCACTCAAGTGATGGGTCGAAGAGGCTGGAAACTTCTCCCAGCACATGTGACACAGGCATCCCCCACCTGAGTCGCACCAACATCGCAATCCCAGCACTACTCATGTCATAAGCAGTGACATGGATTCAGCAAAACAATCGTCAGTTCATGGAAAGCTTTATGATACAGAAGTTGTAAGCAGTTTTATCTCTGTACACATTTCAATAACTATAATAAAAACAACACTGAATTCTGTGAAAAAAATATTAATGAACATAGGCATTCTCAAGTTGGAGAAACACTGATTAGGATATTTTGCTTCCCCAAATGCATCAGTTTCACTCTTCTTCCTGGAAAGTGTCATCGAGTTAAAGGAGAGTTGAGGGGAGAAAAGCTTCTGGATTCTAATCTGGTTCAGAGGGAGACCAAACCAACTGCAAGCAGAAGGCGGCTGGCTCGAGAGGAGCTCAAGTTTTCAACTTTTCCCAGTGGTTTCATTTGGGGTTGGCTGATAGAAGAAAAATAGGTACTAAACTCCTAAACACAGTTAATAGGTAATGAAGCTGTACAGTTTCCAACTTGTAACTAATGGATGAAAATTTTTTTAAATTTTGAGATGGAGTCACTCAGTCTGGAGTGCAGTGGGGTGATCTCGGCTCACTCCAACCTCCACCTCCCGGGTTCAATTGATTCTCCTGCCTCAGCCTCCCAAGTAGCTGGGATTACAGATGTCTGTCACCACACCCAGCTAATTTTTTGTATTTTTTCTAGAGATGGGGTTTCATCATATTGGCCAGCTGGTCTTGAAATCCTGACCTCAGGTGATCCTATCCACCTCAGCCTCCCAAAGTGCTGGGATTATAGGTGTGAGCCACCGAATCTGGCCAGTTTTGTTTCGTTTTCAGATGGAGTCTTGCTCTGTTGCCAAGGCTAGAGTGCAGTGATGCGATCTTGGCTCAATGCAACCTCCACCTCCAGAGTTCAAGTGCTTTTCCTGCCTCAGCCTCCTGAACAGCTGGGATAACAGGTGCCCGCCACCACGTCTGGCTAATTTTTGTATTTTTAGCACAGATAGGGTTTCTCTATGTTGGCCAGCCTAGTCTCGAACTCTTGACCTCAAGTGATTCTCCCGTCTCGGCCTCCCAAAGTGCTGGGATTACAGGCATTAGCCATCATTAGGAATTTTTAAACTTTAGCATTTCTTTAATCCTTGCCTTTCAGTCACTCAGAAGTAAGAAACGGAGAATTCTTTTGTTCCCAGAAAAGATATATGAGGAAACAGACAGGTTAAGAAGAAACTTCCACATCTTCTGTCTGACATAGCTTCCAAGAACTAAAACATTCAATACAGTCTGACATCAGCTTCTTAATCAAGATAGTTCAGCAAAGTTTGTTCAACATTTTGCTACCTCCCTCGTGAATACATGCTGTGCTGCAATTAAACAGCTACTTACAGTTGAGAGAAGCAAGACTTTAATGAAGAATGCTACAAGTATGGACAATAATTAGTTCTCATCTTATAAAAAAAGATTACAGAAAACACTTTACTGAAATTTTTTGCTAAAAAGACAGTCTTAAAGGATGTCTGGGAGAGACAGCAAGCACAACACAGTACAAAAGGAGAAGGGAATGTTGAATTCCAATGCAAGACACAAACACAGCACAATTAGGGAATCAAGAGGAAGCAACCATTTCACAAATAATGAAATTAGGCATTTATATTCAATCAGGATTTTTTTTTTTAAGCTTTAAAAGTCCAGCATAAGGAAAGGAATTGCGAAAAGAAGCAGGGGAGAAGGGGTGGGGGAACTAAGCTTATCTACAATCACCATTTTACCAAAAAACACACTGGTTCAACCACATGATAAGTGGAGGATAAACCTGCCTACATAGCCCAACAGATATTGAGAGCAAATGCCAAGACAGTCAGGTCTAGGGTTGATGTCACAAATGGCTAAAGAGTTTTTACAGGGAATCTTATTCCACAAGGACTGGTCTCTCATCAACCTGGGTTCATAACAGACTAAGCTCCTTTGCATTTGCAGCAGAAGGCCAGAGCTTTACGTGGAACAAGTTTACTCCAAATAATGCTCACACTGCTGGTTTTAACCAGTCATGGAGTCACAAGTGGCTCCTAATAGACTTCACCATTTCTAGGAGAAGGTTCTACAGATTACCAGGGATTTAAATTTAAGCAAATCACTAAAGAAGGGAAACACTAATGATATTCTGGCACTGCACAAGCTGTATGCCTGTCATCTCTGCCAAGGACATGGGTGGACTTGGCTCTGCTTCTTAGCTCCATGATCTCCAACAGTGATGAAGTGGAACTGGGACCTCCCCCACGTCGAAGGAGGTTGCCCAAAATTCTCATCCCAGCCCAGCTTCTGAAATAAACAGCAGACTATCAGGGGCTATTATTAGGAACCATGCTCCTGTGAATTCTGTGGAAATGAAAGCCTGTTTCAGTTCATGCCAAGTCTTTTCATGGTCCGCCAGCGATCCTTAATCATCACAGCTGTTCGGTTAACAAATGGGTAATTTTTAGAAATGGCAGCCCAGTTTCCTTCCCCATATTTCTGCACTCCAGCCTTGACCCATTCGCTTTCTTCTACAGTCCACTTCTGCAAAAGAAAACCAAAAGATTTATCACAACCTTTCCTCTCCACTTCCTTACATTTCCCCCAGTGTAGTGATAAGGTAAACTCAAGGATCCCAGGAGAATCATCTGAACCTGAAAGCACGGCTTATTTTTTTAAAACATGGAATTGACAGTTTATGAGCACTGTGGATCTGGACACGGAGAAATTCTCCATGTCCTGCCATTTGATCCTCAAGTAACCATCACTTCTGCATTTCAAACTGTAAACATATCTACGTCGTTCATGGTCCAGAAAATGTGTCCTCTGTCCTCCTGTGCTTTTCTTCCAGAGGATAACTATTACTTTAACTTAGTTTGGATTATCTAAAACTCTTAAAAAAAAAAAGCTCAATAACAGTTGTCATACATTATTAGGTAAAAGAAAAAGAAAGGTTTTTACTGGGTACATAAGCAGTCTATGCCTAGGAGATAGGGGGCTTATTATACCTAGGCTTTACCCACATAACCAGTATCAGAAAAGAGAGATTTAAATTACCTGCTTTTTTGTTACATTGGTTGTACTGTCTTCATCTGGTGCTGCTGGAAAACATTAAAAGTAGACTCATTTCAGAGTTCACCTTTCTCTGCACAAACCACAAGAAAAAGACACAGAATGTCCCCAAAGGGAAAACTTTTTCAAATTTCACAAGCATTGAGAAGAGAAAGGATACCATTAAAGGATAATTTACTTTTCTTCTTTGTTTGCAAACACTAGTCACTTCAGCCTATGACCTGTACAATGCAAGTGCTTTACAAAAAGGCATCTGTAAATGCTGGCTAGTGATAGGTTTTCAAGCTCTTCAGTAAAACCAACATCGTTTTCTTTTCCCTTTTTTCTTTTTTTTGAGACAGAGTCTTGCTCTGTTGCCCAGGTTGGAGTGCAGTAGTGCAGTCTTGGCTCATTGCAACCTCTGCCTCCTGGGTTCAAGCAGTTCTTTGCCTCAGCCTCCTGAGAAGCTGGGATTACAGGCACCTGCCACCACCACACCTGGCTAATTTTTGTATTTTTTTAGTGGAGATGGGGTTTCACCATCTTGGCCAGGCTGGTCTTGAACTCCTGACCTTGTGATCCACCCACCTCGGACTCCCAAGATTCTGGGATTACAAGCGTGAGCCACCATGCCTGGCTACCAATGTCGTTTTCTAAAATTACTGAGGAACTGCCACATTCAAAACCCTTATTTGATTTTATTTTTTGAGACAGAGTTTCGCTCTTGTTACCCAGGCTGTAGTGCAATGGCGCGATCTCGGCTCACCACAACCTCCGCCTCCTGGGTTCAAGCAATTCTCCTGCCTCAGCCTCCTAAGTAGCTGGGACTACAGGCACGCACCACTGTGCCCAGCTAATTTTTGTGTTTTTAGTAGAGACAGGGTTTCACCATGTTGACCAGGATGGTCTCCATCTCTTGACCTCGTGATCCACCCACCTTGGCCTCCCAAAGTGCTGGGATTACAGGCTTGAGCCACCACGCCCAGCCTCTTTCTTTTGTTTTTGAGACAAGGTCTCCCTTGGTTACTCAGTCTGGAGTGCAATGGTATGATCATGGCCCATTGCAGCCTCAACCTCTGGGGCTCAGTCTTCCAAATAGCTGGAACTACAGGTATGTGATACCATGCCTGGCTAATTTTTTTTTTTTTTTTTTTTTTTGTAGATAGATATCTCATTATATTGCCCAGACTGGTCTCTAATTCTTAGGCTCAAGCAATCTTACCACCTTAGCCTCTCAAAATGCTGGGTTTATACGTGTGAGCCACCAAGCCTAGCCAAGAAAATTTCTTATGATAGAAAAAAACTTGGGCCGGGTGCAGTGGTTTATGCCTGTAATCCCAGCACTCTGGGAGGCCGAAGCAGGCAGATCACTTGAGGTCAGGAGTTTGAGACCAGCCTGCCCAACATGGTGAAAACCCAGCTACTAAAAATACAAAAATTAGCCAGGTGTGGTGGCACACACCTGTAATCCCAGCTACTCAGGAGGCTGAGGCAGGAGACCCGCTTGAACCTGGAAGGCAGAGGTTGCAGTGATCCAAGGTCATACCACTGCACTCTAGCCAGGGCAACAGAGCTAGACTCTGTCTCAAAAAAAAAGAAAAGAAAAAAAATTTGGCTGGACATGGTGTCTCACAAGTATAGTCCCAGCACTTTGGGAGGCTGAGGCAGACAGACTGCTTGAGCCCAGGAGTTCGAGACCAGACTGGCCAACATGATGAAACCCTGTCTCTACTAAAAATACAAAAAAAAATTAGCTGGGCGTGGTGGCAAGGGCCTGTAATCCCAGCTACTCTGGAAGCTAAGGTGAGAGAACTGTTTTAGCCCAGGTTGTCAAGGCTGCAGTGAGCTGAGATCACACCACTGCATTCCAGCTGGATGACAGAGTGAGACCCTGTCTCAAAACAAAACAAAAAAACAAAAAATGATTTATATATAGAAACTGTTAAGAGATTTTTTTTCCTTAAACAAGAAATACAGGGAATGACCTCCTCCTATCATGTCTAATTGAAGGATTTTTAGGAAGAATATCAACTATAATGAAATATAGGTGTTATTAAAACAAAACCAAAAATTTTTTTAAATATAAGGTGTTAGTTACTCTGACAGTCTCCATTATTTAATGGGAGAGGACATCAGATTGATTCCTTGGCAAGGGCACCGTGACTCACACCTGTCATTCCAGCATTCTGGGAGGTCGAGGTGGGAGGATCACTTGAGCCCAAGAGTTTGAGTCCAGACTGAGCAATAAAGTGAGACCCCATCTCTACAGAAAGTGAAAAAAACAGCCAGGTGTGGTGGTACACAGCCGTAGTCCCAGCTTATTGGGAGGCTAAGGCAGGAGGATCACTTGAGCTCAGGAGGTTGAGGCTGCAGTGAGCCGTGTTCACACCACTGCACTCTAACCTGGGTGACAGAGCAAGACCCTGTCTGAAAAAGAAAAACAAACAAACCAACAAAAAAACTGATGTTTCATGAATCAAAATGAGGTCGAGAACTTATTGAACTTTTCTGAGTTTGGAGACTAGCAGCTTCTGGAATATTAACATGACAGTAACATGCATCTGTACTTCAGCAAGCATCAAGAAGCAGCCAAGGAGAATCTCCTCCTTACCCTGAACTGGAAACAGTTCATCTTCTTCCACCCAAGTCTCCTTTTCTTCAACCCCATTAGAGCTGTTCCACTTGCCTTTGGGTATTCTGAGGGGACATCAAGGAGAGCACAAGGTATAAAACAGATTCATCCCAGATCATCCCAGATTCTGCCCTTGGCTCACTCTTGGCTCTGTATTCCTCCCTGTCCTGCTGTGACCTCACTCAAGGTTCACCTACATGCACCTCCCAAAGCCACTTTCTTTCCTCCTGGCTGGCCAGGCATCTCCACGTAACACTCCCCAGGGTTCAGGAAACCCTTCAAATTCAGTACTGGGTACATCAAGTTCATCACCACTCCACCTAAAGAATCTGTTCATTTTCCTGTCTTTTTGCTTGTTTGGTTTTGACTCTATTTTAAAGGTCTCAGTATTCTGATTTAGAACCTGCAAACTCCTCCCTCTCTTCCTTGGACATGCTTTCTTCCTATATCGGGACTGATTTTTCCCTTTCCATTCTCCCTTGTTCAAGCTCGCAGTGCTCTTCACCAGTAGCCTCTTAACTGGAGTCTCTGCTGCTAGCCTCCTCCCCAT